CTTTGAGGCTTCTGCTCAATTTTCTTTGTGTACCCAAAGCTTCTAAAAATAAATTTTATTTAAAAAGTAATTGCCATGACTAATTGAAGGATACACGAGCCAAGTAGAACTCGACAATATCGTCGTAGTAACCAGCAGCATATAAGATAGCAGAGGACAGGTTGCAGCTAGACTAAGTGCAAGCTTCAGTAATGCTACATAGCTGAGAATATCGATGAAGTTCAGAATGTGTGTCAGGAGCACATGATGGCTTTGAGGAGAAACTGGATTACTCAGACACTGCCACTCTGCAAAGCAGTCTGGCAGTTCCTGGCCAAGCTAAAAATGGACTCACCACACAACCCAGCAATTACATTTTTGGGCATTTATCCCAGAAAAATTAAGACTTATTTTCGTGAAGAATTTATACATGAACATTCATAGCAGCTTTATTTATAACAGCTCTAAACTGGAAACTATACACACGTCGTTCAACAAGTGAACGGTTAAACAAACTGTGATGCACACATACATAGCATGCTGCTCAACAACTGGGAGGAGCGAGCTATTGACACACGTCCTTGGGCAAAGCTTGACATTATGCTCAATGAACAAAAGCCAATTTCAAAAGTATACATACTTCGTGACTCCGCTTGCATAACACTTGTGAAATAATATTAAAATGGGGAATGGATTCATGGTTGCTGTGGGGGAAGCGCAGGCAGGAGAAAGACTTGTTTCTCTGTAAAGGGTAACAGAAGGGTCTGATGGTGAGTGTTTTCCTTGTGGAGTTGCAGAACCCACACGTACGCGCATGCATAGCTGATAAAAGGCCAATTCATTGGATATTTTATTCTAGTTGTGTAAGAAGTTACATGAGGATGCATTGGTCTTACCTGTAGACTTCTTTGCAGCCTACAATATGAATCTACAATCACTTCAAGATGAATTTTTAACTAATTATAATTGCTAAAGGAGTAACATATGACTGGGATGTGAGCATGGTGAGTGCTGGTCGTGACTGACCTGCACAAAGCCCTGGGTTCCGTCCTCAGGTCATGTAAACTGAGCTGGTGGTGCCCTGCTGTTTTACCAGCGTACAGAAGGTGGAGAAAGGAGAATCAAGGGTATCATCAGCTGCATAGTGCGTTCGAGGGCAGCCTGATTTCCATGAGACCCTATCTCAAAAGGGGAGGTAGCGAGTAGAATTAGTAACTTCCTGATCAGGAGAGTAAGGATAAAAGAGAAAAAAAAACTCAGCCAAAATATAATTTCAGTTACATGAAAGGAATAAGCTCCAGAGAGCTACTGTATAACATGGTGACTATTGCAAGTCATAGTGTGTAAAATACTAAAAGAATGGATGTAAACTGTCCTCACACCAAGGTGCATGTATGCTTTTCATATGTCAATTAAGTAGGTTTGGTGATTTTACAATTTAGCTCAGACTTATTATTAACTAGCTCTTACAACTTAAATTAACCCATAATTCTTGTCTATGTTTAGCCATGTGTCTTCGTAACCTTACTCAGTGAGGCATTCTCATCTTGCTTCCTCTCTGTCTTGGTGGCAACTTCAGACTGAGCCTTTCCTCTTCCCAGAATTCTCCTAGTCTGGTCACCCTGCCTATATGTCCTGCCTGGCTACTGGCCAATCAGTGTTTTATTAAACCAATATGAATAACAAATTATTACAGGGTACAAAAGCATTATCCCACAACACTTCCCCCTTTTTTTTCTTTTCAAACCAAGAACTCTGACTCTAATCTCCTTTTTTTCTTTTCAGAGTAGATTCAATAATCTACCCTTTACTGTAACAAATAGAAATTCCATGTTTTTGAAAAGCTGTCAAAGTGATTGTATCACTTTGCCTTCCTACCAGGAATATGTAAAAGTCTTCATCTATCTCCTCCTTGCCAACATTCATTGTCTCATTTTTGTTTGTGGTCATCTTATTTGGTGTGCAACAGTATAGCATTGTGGTTTTGATTTGTTGTCTTCTTTGGAAAGACCTGCTCCAATCTTGTGCAGCAATTTTGAATATCGAGCCCTACTTACATAAGAATTTATAAATACTTCCTCCTATTCTGTTGTTTGCCTCTTCAGTGTATTGATAGAGTTGCCTTCAGGTTTTGATTTGAGGGCTGGGATTATAGCTCTGAGTATTTGCCTAGCAGATAAAAGGAAACAGGAACGGTCACCAGCACCAAAATAAAATAAAATAAAAACAACAAAATTTCTCTCTTGATGAAGTCCAACCTGTGTATATTTTGTATTATGTTGTAGGAGATCTTGGTGTCACATCCAAGAAACCCTTGCCAAATCTAGCCACCAATTTTAAAACTCCCAGCCTGATGTCTTTTGAATGGTTTATTGAATGATTTAAAGGATTTTGGAGTTGGTTATTTCTCTTCAGCAATTTATTTTTATAGCTATGGAAGATTTTCATAATTATACATTCAATGCCAACTTGCTTTTGATTCTCCGTTTTCCTAATTATTGCCAAATGCATTCAATTGTAAGTAAAAAGCATGGAAATAGTACATTGTATTGTGATATAAGCAATCCCATGAACAATGGTGAGCAAAATCACTGCCAAGTGCCTTTATTAGAAACAAAATCTTAACTGATTAGAGACCATATTATATATCAACTCTAAAATGAGTTTTCAACTTTTCTGCTTCATTTTTTTAAATAAAAAATTTTACTTTGGCTTGGCTAACAGAGCTCTGAAACTTCAAAAGACACTTTGTGTCTCAAAAGGAGGTCTTGTGATTGTGATGCTCTCTTGAAATTCAAGTAGTTCTTCGGGAATCTGAGGCTCGCTGGAAGTTAGATTCTGTAGACTAAGAGAAGCTCTCTGTACCATTGCTAGTTTATACTTACGAATTTTACACATGTTCCCAGATGACAGTATCAAGTACATCTGTGTGTATGTGAGTTTGCATGTAGTGTATGCATGTTTACATGCTTGTGTGCAAATACACATGTATATGTGTGCGTGCCACATGGAAGCCAGACGCGTTTCTCAATGTCTTCCTAAATGGTTCTCTCTCTCTCTCTCTTTCTCTCTGTGTGTGAGTGTGTGTGCGTGTGTGCGTGCATGTGTGCATGAGTGCCCATGCCATATGCATGTTTGGAAGACAAAGGACAACTCTGGAGGGGGGGGGTTGTCTTGCCTTCTACCTTCCTGAAGCGGGATCCCTCTTGTTGATTCTGCCTTGCGGCTCACTCCTGACTAGCTGGCCCACAAGCTTCTGGTCAATCCTCCTGCCTCCACCTCTCAGCTCAGGGTAGGAGTTCTGGAAGCACAAACACAAATCACTGCATCTGGTTTTTTACGTGAATTTTTTCCAGAAATTGCTCTCCAGTCACAGGGTGTGAATTGTTAGCAGTTATGTTCACTGAGCCCGCACCTGTTCCTCCCCACCTTATTTTTTGTGAGAGGGTCTCTTACTTAACCTGGGGTTTACGTGATTTGGCTGGACTGGCTGGCCAGTGAGTTCCAGGACCCACCTATCTCTACCCCGCAGTGTGGGGGTTAAAGACGTACACCACTACCCCAGCTTGTATGTGGGTGCTGAGGTCAGAACTCAAGTCCTCATGTTTCACAGCAGTTACTTCACCCACTGAGCCATGTCAACAGCCCACACAGAATCGTTTTAAAGAAATCATTTTAAAGTTATTAAATAATTCTTAATCTATCTGTGATAAATATTTGAGCATTATGAAGAACTTCTTTTTTAACCTTTATGGTTCTTATTTAAACTGTTATCTACTTTTCAAGTGTTTACTAATCCCCCAACTTTGAGGAGTAAATTCTTTAGAATACTCCGTGGAAACCCGAGACTGGGTTCTCCTACCTCGGAGAATTTGCCCTATCTTTGAGGAGTCAATGGCACACATGATGATGTTAAAGAAGAAATAGCATTTACCACGAAGGGTCTGAGTTAAGGTGGTCTGAGATGCCCCAGACTGCCACAGGCCAGGAGGGGAAAGTCTAGTTGGAGAGAGCTGACGGAGAACAGCACCTCAATGAATCCAGTGTTCCACCTGGGTGGGGTGTGCCACTTACCAGAGGCAGAAAAGTGTGTGTTGAGCAGCTGAATGGTTCAGGTGTGGATGGTGACGTAGTCAACTGTGGAGAAACACTGCAGACAGTGACCAGAGGAGGAGTGGGAGATGCGTTCTGTCTAGTGGGACACTTTCGAGGTGGAGGGTTCCTGAGAACACCTTCCCTCCTTTTCACTAGGCCAGGAAAGTGAACCAATTTGTCAAGACCATCCAATCAGAGAATCGCAGACCTGAGCCCCTAGTTTTCCTTTGACTTTGCGTCCTATGATCTTCTTCCTACCACAGTTCTTCTGGGTGTATCAAGACAAAACAAAATGAACAGAACAGTTAAGTCAGAAGCATCTCTATGGGCAGTAAGATCTTGAGGCTGTTCACTGAGTGAGGCAGACAAATGCCTAGAAAATCTAATAAAGGACTCACTTCTTTCTTTTCCAAGATAATATCTCACTGTGTAGCTCAGGCGAGCCTTAGGACCCTCTTGCGTACGCCTCCCACCTCTGCCTCCTTAGTGCTCAGAATATGGGCATGAGCTGCCACACTTGCTATGACCTAATGGCTATTTGTAATTTTATTCATTATTGTGTGTGTGATGTGAGCATGCATGGGCTGCACGTGTGTGGAGGTCAGAGGACGACTTTCAGGAGTTGGGTCTCTCTTTTCACTGTGGGTTCTCTGGTTCAAAGCCAGGTTATTGAATTGTACAACACTTGTTCCTACCCACTGAGCCATCTCATTGGCCCTGACCAAGCTATTTTCAAAAACCAGCATTTGGTGACGTTCTCACTTTAATCAAATATTATTCCCAGGGCAGGTTTGGCAAATGTAAGGGAAGCAAAACTGAGCAGATGAGTAAATCAATTAATATAAAAGCAAACCCCTGCAGCACTGCCAAATATCTTTCAAGTACTATTTCTAAAAGCCATTTAAAGAAAATGATTCCTTTTACAGGTTCACCTTTTTGGAGTGTTGCTGGCTATTTTAGGAAACGTGGTTATCAGCATTTCCCTAAATATCCAGGTAAGAAAAACTCAACTTTTCTGACTGTAGCTCGATCTGGGAATGTAGTGTGCCTGTCACAGGTACGGTAGTTCTGCTTCTGCAGCTCTTTCAGCCATTCAAAAAAGAAGAAAAATAATGAAACATTGTATGTTGTGATCTCACTGTGCAGACCAAAGGCCTTGCAGAACGGAGGACATACAGTAAGAACTTCAACTAAATTAGAGACCTGAGAGAACCCCTGCTGCTAAACTAAACTCTGAATGAAATCTGAATTTTAAGCCAAACTGCGAATTCAATCTAAATTTTAAATCATTTAGTAAGTCAGTTTGAAATAGAATCAAACCAATTTAGTTTCTTAAGCTACTGAACTAAAATAGGCCTTAATATCAAAATACCTCCTTGAATGTTATATAATTTTATGTAAAACTTTAGTAGACCATAGCCTAATATAATTGTTACTAATTTCCAAGAAATGTATTTATTCCTAAAAATACGGAAATAAGTCATGTTTTACTTTGCTGAGACCCATCATTGTGACAAAGCACCCAAGAAAAATGTACTAACAAAGGAAAAGATTTATTTTGGCACTCTGTCCCTTTCTGCTTGACTTGTAGCCGTCAGTACATTATGGCTGGAACACACAGCAGAAGAGACCTATTCACCTACTGTGGCCAGGAAACAGGGTCGGGTAGAGGGGGCATCAGGAAAGGTTACAATGCTCCCTTTGACAGAAGTTTCTGTCCCGCCCAGTTCCACAGCCATTCAGTCCCAAAGAAAAACACAGAAGCCTATATTAATTATAAACTGGTTGGCCTATCAGCTCTGGCTTTTTATTAATTAGCTCTTATATCTTACATTAACCCACAATTCTTGTCTGTGTTAGCCACGTGACTTGGTACCTTTTATCAGGGAGGTGTTCTCATCTTTCTTCCTCTGCATCTGGGTGACGACTGCAGACTGAGACTTTCCTCTTCCCAGAATTCTCCTGTTCTGGTCACCCTGCCTATACTTTCTGCCTGGCTACTGGGCAATCAGCATTTTATTAAAGCAATACAACTGACAAATCTTTACAGGGTAAAGACATTGTCCTACAGTACTTTCCTTTTTTGCCTTTTCCAAACAAGAGCTCTGAATATAATCTCCTCTGTTTAGCTTTCTTCCTGTCTATTATCCAAAACAACTTGTAACTGACATTCCAAAGACAAACATCCATAATCCATTTTTTTGGAGGGGGGGAATATGGGCCTAGTTTTCTAGGCTACTTCCTGCTGATTGGGGGCACTGATAATCTTATGGAGACCCAAAGAAAATTTAGAATTATTGTCAAATTCTGACTGGAATATTCTGTGAGGCTTGATCATCTCAGCCAGCAATCTTGTGGATGTTCTGGATGTTGAACTCAAAGGAAACTCCAACAGAGATTCTCTAAAATGTTGGATCATCTGGGGCATCCACTCCTATCATAGATTTTTAAGGGGGTCTTCCTTGATCAAACCTGATTTTTCTTAACCCAAAATGAATCCACAGCCTCTTATTTCCTATGGAAACAAAATCAAAACCTCCTCTCCAAAGTAACATATCTTTTGACTTAAATTTTGAAGTCAAGGCATTTTCAAAGCATACATGTTGAATTAATCCAGCAGCATTTATAATCAAATGTTTTTTTAGCAGCTGTTGCTCCTTCCTCAGCAGTCAAACAATTCAAAGACAACACAGTAACATACAGTATCCAGATTCTCTGTGTGTTTTCCATTTTTATGTGGCTTTATTTTAAATACTATTTCTTTCATTTTTATTTTTTAATTTTTGTTGTTTTAAGACAGGGTTTCTTCATGTATCTTTGGCTATCCTGAAACTCACTCTGTAGACCAGTCTGGCCTCAAACTCACAGGGATCTGCCTGCCTCTGCCTCCCAAGTATTGTGATTAAAGTTGTGTCCCACCACACCCAACTATACTATTTCTTTTTTTAAGGACTTTCTCTATCATTTTTCTTTTCTCTCCCAAGACTATGCATATTTTTAAACACTGTAAACCATTTAGAGGTTTTTTTGTCTGAATCTATCTTTACTGTATATCTCTCTTTTTCTGACCACATGAGGCTTTAATTTGCTAAGCGATATGGATAGGATTAACAGCTGGATCAACCCAATTCCTCAACTTTGTGAGAGTCTAGCTTCAAAGCAGAGGTGCTGGTCAGAGTCGTGTTTATTGCCACAACACTACGGAGTTTCAAGGTCCCTGCTACCACCAAGAAACATACTGTTGGCTATTCATAAACACAGTTTACATGTTTGGTGGTGGGGTTTCTTAAAAGAGCTGCAAGGTTTTTGCAGCTAAAACTGAGTCAGAAAGCCTCTCTTAAATGAAACGCACTTGCCTCTAGAAAAAAGAGCCCACCCGAGAAAATGCTGCTACAAAGAAGCCATGCTTAATTCTGTTCTTTTGTGTCTAGAATTACTTCCCAAGCCCTCTTGGGTTTATGTGGATGTAGTTGCTCCAAGTTGAACACCAGATGTGGTCTATTACAATGAAGTAGTCCCACACTATCTCAGAATGGAGATAAATAAATAAAGGGTTCTTTCTTTAGGGGTAGACTCACAGATCAACAGTCCTCTGCATGATCAGGGAACAGGAACTGAACCCAGCAGCCAAGAGAGGCCATACAAGCTTTATGTCTGCATTTACAGTACAAGAGACCACGTTCAAATGGACTGGTATCTTAAAGGCTTTTGGCTGAAGGAGTTCCTACAGCATGCCCGTATCAAGAACATGCCCTTAGTACCTAACTTCCTTCAAATAGGTCCTATATCCTTAAGGATCCCTATCACCCAGTGATAGAGCCAAGCCTTTAACACAGATCATTGTGGGACATTTCAGACACAAACTATAGCATTTAAACAAAAGAACTTTAGTGCCAGTAAGATGGCTCCATGGGTGAAGGCATTTGCCTCTAAGACCAATGGCCCGATTTCAACCCCTGGGACCCACATGGTGAAAGGGAGGACCAATCCCCAAACTGTGCTCTGACCTCAGCATGTACTCTGTGGACCGCTAATTCACAATGAGCTTTTTTTCTTTTAAATGTTTCGTGTTTTCTTCTAAACCTCTAATTACTTTTTAAGATGATCTGGACCAGTCCACTAGTCTGTTGTTCAGTTATCATAAAATCTAGGGAAAACATGTTTAATGAGTTCCTCGGGATTCATAGGTTTGCTTCATTTTGCAGTGCTGGGGATGACACCCATGGCCTTGTGCAGGCTCATGAAGTGCACTTGCATCCTGCCCGGCTATATTAATTGTGGTAGATGCTTCAACCCATACATCTGAATCCCTTCGAAATACACTCTCCCTAATACTTCACTGCTTTTATCTTGTTAATGTTTCTTTTGGGATCTGGAACTACTTTAAATTCTAAAAAAAAAAAAAAAAAACTATCTCAGCCTAGTGCTCTAAGACGCTCCTCACATCCATACTTATCTTCAGATAGTGATGAAGAGACACATTTTACAGAGTTGTGAGGGGGGAAAAAAACAGTGTGCATACACAAAAGACCCCTAGACTACAAAATGCAATAGAAATATGATTCTTCTTGGGACAAACAGAAAGCCATAAGAGTCAGCAAATAAATTAGAAAACTTGGATGTGAAAAGAGATCTAAACTTCCCAAGCAAGTGGGACTTGATAGTACACACCTTTAGTCCTAGCACTTAGGAGGCAGAGGCAGAGGGATCACCGAGAGTTTGAGTCCAGCCTGCTCTACCAGCGATTACCAGGCCAATCAGGGATACACAGTGAGAACCTGCCTCAAAAAGTAAAATAAAAATTGACAGCGAGTTTTAGTTGGGTAGAAATGTTTTCTATTTACATCCTGTTTTGCTTCCAGAAATACTCTCACCTTCATTTGGCCCAGAAGGAGCACCCGAAGCCGTACTTTAGGAGTGCGCTCTGGTGGAGTGGCATCCTGCTGATGGCCGTAGGAGAAACAGGCAATTTTGCAGCCTACGGCATTGCCCCCATCACTCTGATTGCGCCATTGGGATGTGTGTCGGTCACAGGTAGGCCATTTACCCCTGTTTTACAATTAACATGTTCACAAATTAGAGTGGGTGAAAGATGTAACACAGAAAAATGTCTTATTCCCGCTTTTCTGAGTATGTTTAGATCGCAGCTGTAGTCTCAGTTACGCCCTTCCATGCCACACACTAGCCACACAGAAACATGAATTCTATAGCTGTCCATTTACATGGAAGGCCATGTTTTCAACGTCTGAGTCTGAAGAAGTTAAAAGTCATTTTAGAAGTTATACTGTGTTTTGGATCACTAATGGATTATCTAAAAACATTTATAGGCAACTGTATTTTATTTTTATGCTAAACTGATAATACATATAATTGAGTCACTGTTGTCTGATCCTGAATCATAGTTTTGTCTCTCTTTGGCATTAAAAATTAATGATGAGTTATTTTGCATTACCATAAGAATGTACAGTTTTATAATAATGTCACAATTATCCACTCACAACTAAGTACATTTAGAGATGAGTTAAAGGACATATTTTAAAGAGCAAAATTCACTGCTAACAAGGATAAATTCTATAACAAGCCTTGTTTAAAATTAGTTTAAAAAAATCTTTTTATTCTTTATCTGCTGCTATGGGAACAGCATATTTCTAAACTTCTGTGAATGCAGAATCTTCATTGAGGTAGAAACGACTTGACAGTTGTTGAGAATGACTGGATCGAGGGCATCATGTGGTCATATAGCCCAAGTTTAATATTTCTCCAGAATGTGATGTGATCCTCTCAGGGAAGTACAGCTTAAACTGAAAGAATGTATGTGCAGACAGAATTCCGTTTTATTTTGGAAGCCTCTCCTTTAACTTTTCAAATTTTTAAGATTGTATTACAATAGATATTTCATAAGAAATACTTATTTCATTTTCTTGAAATTGTTGAAGCCCCATATTGAGGCCTGGGGAGAGGGCTGCGTGGGAGAGGTTGCATGCCTGCTTCACAAACATGAGAGCTGAGTCTGGATCCCAGCACCCATGTAAAAGCCAGGAAGAGTGGCGCTTGCCTGTAAGCTCAAAACAGCAGTGGGACAGAGGTAGAGCCCAGGGATTCACCGGCCAAACCATGAGCTCCAGGTCCAGTGAGGGACTTTGTTACTAAAAATATGGTGGGCAGCAATAGAGAAAGAAAGATGCCCGGCACTGTCCTCAGGCCTCTCCATATATACACACAGGGTGGCACTCACACGCATGTGCAAACACATGCATACAACGTATCTGCATACACATACAAAAAATCCACATACTGATACTACCCCGAGGAGACAAAATGTATACAGTCATTTACCATTTTTAACATCCCAATAAAGTAAGTTGCGTATGCGTTCTATTTTATTGTATATAATACATCCACAGATGTTCTAGACGTTTTCCTTCTCAATATCTGAGAAATAACAGCTAAGAGTTTTTATTGGGTTGTCAAGGTGGGACAGAGGGGCTTTCTGGCTTTCTGTTCTCTTCAGATTGTGCATTTTGTCGGCTTTGCTCTTGTTTCTGCTTTATGCTCTTTCCATGAAATGTCCGAGGAAAGTGTGTGGGCAGCATCAGTGGCTACCCAGTAGAGGGCCGTGTGCACCATACCACACTGTACTGGCTCTCCTTACCTCATGTTCTCCCAGCTCTTGGGAAAACATAGTAGTGGAGACTCGGTAAGATACGAATTGCCATGTTGCCGGAAGCGGGCAGTGATGCCCTGCGAAGACGGTTCACGAAGCTGGGACTGTGCTGTCATCGCGTTTGCCCAAAATTCTTATTAATAACTAGGAACTCACGTTTTCTGCCCTGCGGCTTAGCGCGTCCCCCTCCCCAAGTCTCCCGCTGTACCTGGATCGCTCTGCCAGCACATGAGCTTTTCGCACGGATGTAAGCAAGTGTTCTTAGTAGGCTCTTAGCCTTAGTTAAAGATTCTCAGCACTCGGGAGGCAGAGGCAGGCGGATCTCTGTGAGTTCGAGACCAGTCTGGTCTACAAGAGCTAGTTCCAGTACAGGCTCCAAAGCCATAGAGAAACCCTGACTCGAAAAACCAATAAAAAGAAAAAAAAATAAGATTCTACTGCTCATCGGGGCTGTCTGCAGACATCCACAAGCTCTCCCGACGGCAGATCGGCCCTGGCGGGTGCAGAACACCCACGGGCCCACAGGGTACCTTGCAGGCATCGTTATGACGAGCAAATATTTGGTGAAGAAAAGGAGAGAAAGAAAAGCAGAACAGTTCGTGTGCTGTGGAAAGAGGCAGAACTGAAGAAGCAAAGGCAATGAGAAACAGGCTAATGTAGGTGGATGGCCTGCACTGCCACCCAGGGCCATGGTGATGTCCTGGCCCAGACTGCTGCTAAGAGCCATCTTTGGGTTCGTGGTCTGCTTTCAACTGAGGTCTGTGTTGATATCCATGGCTTATGTTACCACTGGGGGCCATGAGGAACATGCATGGTGAAGTCAGAGGGCTAAGCTGAACTTGCTCTGCTCCTTGCTCCTCGCTGGCCCTGGAAGAACTGGTCCTGCCCCACTCAGGAGAGCCAGCCCAGTGGCCTAGGCACTGGAGAGCTGGCCCTGCATTCGGGATAGCTATCCCCTCCCCTCACCGTGGACCCTGTTGACTTGGCACAGGAGAGCTGGCTCTGCCCATCACTGAGGGGGGTGGTCCTAGCTCAGCTACCACTGAGGGCCCATACCCAGGGCTTTGAGTTGGCTCACCCCAACATCTATCCATCTATGATCTGTGGGGCACATGGAAAGACTGGTCCTGTGGAACCCCAGCCACAGGATTGCCATGACTCAGAGCAATAGCAGATTATCTGAGGGGAGTTTCAGTGAGGGTCCAGTATTGATGGTGCTCCAGAAGCCAGAGGCCCTGAACCAGACCAACAACTCAGTGCAACGAACATTTGCAAGTAAAGCTCTTTAGACAAAAGGGTCCACTGTGTTACACACCGCAGCTCCCAAGGCCACTATGACAAATGTGATGGAGAGGTGGGAAAAACAGAGGGGTGAAGTGAGGGTTTTGTTTGTTTTGTTTTCCTTTGGGAGGGAACCCCTAAAGGTGGAGGCACTGGGAAATAAGTGGGGATGGAGAGGGTGATATGAATTCTTAGGAATTCCCCAAAAAATATGTTAAGAAAAACACTATCCAAAGAAATGAGTTCATACACAATGAATAAATCATGTGAAATCAGCAAATGAAATGAGGGAAACACATACACACCACACACATACACAACCTCCACCACCACCACAAGTGAGCTTACAGCCTCAGATACAAATCATCTCCTCCTGCACAGCAATGCACGCTCATCAACATTGTTCCACAGCTCTCTGGAGCTGCAGGGAAGTGTGTGGATGGTGGGGCCCAGGATCCTAAAGCCTTCCTGTGCAGTGCAGGAGGGAAACGATTCTGAAAACAAATGGCTGTGTCTGTAGACAGGCAAGAAGGTGCTCTACACTTCTCTCTGCTGGTGTCTTCTTACCTCCTCTCATTGGAAACTTTAAGAAATGAAACTTCCCCTTTGAATTTGAAAAAAAAATATAACATATGCAATAATTTTGCATGGATATTACATATTTTACTGTTTTTCTTCTGTCTCTTGCTTTTAAGTGTGTGTGTGTGTGTGTGTGTGAGAGAGAGAGAGAGAGAGAGAGAGAGAGAGAGAGAGAGAGATTGACATTTGGTGCATTTAGAACCACATCACCACATCCCTGGAAGGCAAGAACTGACTCCTGCAGGCTGTCCTCTGGCTGCCACACTTATACAAATATATACACGTATAGAAAGTTTTATAAAGAAGTCCATAATCCTAGAGGTATCTGAGTTTGGGGGTAGAATGTTCCATGGGGCTTGAGCAATTATATATCTTCAGAGGAAGACCAGTGAACACTCTCCAGAACCCAGTGGCCAGAGGCAATTTTATGAGGAGAACCTTAGATATAATAGTTTCTGCAGAACACCCCCAAGCCTTCTGCTAAGCAGCAGAGATTAGCAGTAGGAAGAGCCCGGAGCTCTGGTGGGCTCTGTAGCTCCAGCAATGGGCGTCAGATTCTTTGTATCATTTTCACTCTCCATAGACAATGGTGCCTAAAGCTTATTCTGACTGAAAATGTGGCTGTGCTGCAGTGTAATTAATTCTAGATGGTGATTTGTTTTGTGTTTCTCTTAAGAAGCTCATGGGCTTCTAATTTCCTCGGAGCTAGGCTGACTAGTGTTCCAGGACACCAGCCAGTAGGACGGTAATGAGAACAGCTCTGGGTCACACTGCCTGGTCGGATACCACGCCTGCCCCTGGCCAGCTCTGCCCAGCACTGCATCCTCGTGCATGCAGTTTAAACCATTTTTATGGCTCAGATCACTAATCTGTAAATGGCGGTAAAAATAGTTGCTGTTTCGGGGTGACTGTGAAGACCCGCGTAAGCTCAACGGTGCAGACTATTTGACATGCAGCCCTGGCTATTGTCACTGTGCACATAATGATCATTATTGTTACACAGAGACAAAGTACAGATTCTTGATAATGGAGCGTGTTCCTTGCTCTAAAATGGATGAGCCAATTTGGGAAGGCTTTGCTTTGTTCTTATCCATGCAGTGGTTAATTTGCATGGAGCGGAACGTAGAATCGTTCATCCATGAAGCAACAATTGCTCTCCAACTCCTCCACATTGTCCTTATGAACATTTCCAAATAAACCAAGGCAAAGCACAGTTTATAAAACAGGTACAGGGCCCTGTGTGTCAGTACACACCTCTAATACATGACCCAGAAAGCTGAGGCAGGAGGACTGCCACTAGCTCAAGGCCAGCCTGAGCCATGTAGTAAGAACCAGGCCAGCCATGACTACACATGAAGAGCCTGTCTTTAAAAGCCACCCCTTCCCAAGACTCGGGAACCATCTTGGAAGAAGGAGCAGAAGGATGTTAAGAACCAACTGTTAGGGAGAACCAGAGTAAACCCGTGTAAAATGGCATGTTTCAGACATGATAGCACCGTCCACTGGTGAA